CCCAGTGTCCTGCCCAGCACCTCACCTGGGCCCAGCCTGCTCCACACCTGGTGTCCTGCCCAGCACCTCACCCAGCACCCAGCCTGTGCCTCACCTGGCGCCCAGCCTGCTCCCCACCTGGTGTCCTGCCCAGCACCTCACCTGGCGCCCAGCCTGCTCCCCACCTGGTGTCCTGCCCAGCACCTCACCTGGGCCCAGCCTGTGCCTCACCCTGTGTCCTGCCCAGCACCTCACCTGGGCCCAGCGTGTGCCTCACCCTGTGTCCTGCCTGGTGCCCAGCCTGGCACCCTGACACACAGGCTCAGTAAGCAACCTAAGAATTGCTACTACCTCACCCTGCTGGGCATGCTCGCAGGAAGAGCTGAGCACCTGATGTGCTTTGTCTTGTGGGACTCAGCAGCACAGTGAGGCCCTTGCCGTCATCCCCATTTGACGGGCAGGACACCTGAGGCTCAGAGCAGTGAAGACAACTCCACAAGCACGCAGGTCCATTTGATGGTGGAGCCGGCGTGTGATCAGCTCTCTGATACGTGCTTGCCAAATGAGCGCGTCAGGGGGAGCCGTGGAAGGAGCCACACAGGATGCCAGGCCGAGGTTCCAGGGGCTGGACAGAGAGAGGACAGAGGAAGGCTGAAAGCTCGTTCCTCTCCTCTTCTCCCCTGCCAGGACCCAGGCTTCACTCCTGCAGTGATGAGATGGGAAGAGAGAATGGAGAGGATGCAGGACCCTCCAGTATCCAACTGATGCCCTTGCTTCCAAGAGATGGGCAACCCCCAAAATGAGCTCGAAGATCATCCCTCAACCCCATGAGCCTGTTATTACCTTTTGACCGAGAGAGAGAATTTCAGCTCCAAGCCCCCCTTAGAAGGCCTGCTTGCCCACTGCTTCAAAGGAGAAGTGCCGACCAGTGCTTTAGACTTCAGAACATAGTGTAAACAGGAAATGGGACTCCTGTCATTGAGCGCACATACATGGCGGCATTCCAGATGATGAGCACCGTGTGTGAGTCAGCTCGCCGCGCACTTCTCGTTTGGGATCATCTGCGTAAGTCGAGGCTCTTTGCCCCCAGCACACCCTAACCACCAAATGTTAGTGTACCATGGGGGATTGTCGGCTGAAACACTGGCCACGCACACGTGTCGGTCACCTCCAAATGCTCGGCAGGTGTCCCGGAGCACCTGAGCCTGGCCTTCCCACAAGGGCTTGTGGTGTTGGTTGGGAGGATGAACCCCTGACCGAAGGTCACAGGGCAGAGCCACCAGCCTGTGGCCACAGATGTTGGGGCAGCTGCCTCCCAAGTAGGAAGCTCTTCAGTCACAGCCCTCGATGATGAGTGGGTTGACTTAATGGTGCCTATTTTCTAATCAACCCTTTGACCTGCTTCAATCCCACTTCTGCCCAGACAGTCTCCTGCTGGGAGCCCTCCGGCCCCTCCGGTGACCCTCTCCAGTGACCCTCTCCAGTGACCCTCTCCAGCAGTGGTGACCCATACACATGGATGAGCAGTCTGTGCAGGACAACTCAACGCTCTCTCCTCCCCTTTTTATTTCAAGAAGTCTTATAGAACGTCTTCTGTTAAATTTAGCACAAAGTTTTATTTCTAGTTGTCTCAGTCATCTAGTGCTGCTGTAACAGAAAAACCGCAAGTGGACGGCTTTAACAAAGAGAAGTTTGTTCTCACAGCCTGGTACACTACAAGTCCAAATTCAGAGCATCAGCTCCAGGGGAAGGCTTTCTCTCTCTCTCGGCTCTGGAGGAGGTTTCTTGTCATCAGTTTTTCCCCGGTTGAGGAGCTTCTCCGCGCAGGAACCCTGGGTCCAAAGGGTGAGCTTTGCTCCCGGTGCTGCTTTCTTGGTTGGATGAGGTCCCCCCCTCTCTGCTCACTTCTCTTTCCTTTTATCTCTTGTAAGATAAAAGGTGATACAGGCCACACCCCAGGGAAACTCTGTTTACACTG